AGGATTTCAAGACCATTCCGGACATTATGGTGGGATCCTCTCTTTGCAAAACATTTTAAAACTTAGCTGGGCATGGTGGCGCGTGCCTGTAGTCCCAGCTACTCAGGAGGCTGAGGCAGGAGAATTGCCTGAACCCAGGAGGCGGAGGCTGCGGTGAGCCGAGATTGCACCATTGCACTCTGGCCTGGATAACAAGAGCGAAACTCCATCTCAAAAAAAAAAAAAAGGAACAAGTTCTATTTCTAAAAACGTAATCAATGTCACTCACTATATTGTCTCAATAAAACTATTTTTCCCTAAAATTTTTGAGTACCTTTATAGATATTTCTAAATTGTCTTGGAAAACCTTTAAGTATGTTGCCAACAAGACATTCTTTCAAGTATCTAGTTTTTGTTCTTTGCTTCGAAGAACAGATAAAAAGACCTGCCCAATGTATTTTCATACGTAGGGCTCTGCTTCTTAACTTTATGCATAGAAGGTGCTGACCAAGCAGACAATTTTGTGAAACAAAATTGAACTCAATACATGTAGCTGTGTAGATAACTACACACAACTAAAATACAACAAGGAGTAGAACAGCAAAGAATACCAAGATGTGTGGTTGAATATTCCACTTTATCAGTGGTAATTGGTGTCACAGAGTTCTACAGACAAATACAAGGATGAGGATTTCATTTCACTTTCAAGCCAACCCAGTGACTTCTTCACATGTTAAATGCCAATAGAGAATAAAACACAACCTCACCTTTTATTTAGAAGCCCATATGGTCTTTCTCATACCAAAATAAATGAAATGAATTCATAGCTAAAAATGTTTATGAAAGAAAAGTGTCAATTCCTACCTCCATTATCTTTTAGATGTAGTGCTATCTTGGTATCATCTGGAAGAGAAATTCAAAGTTATTACAATAGAAGAGGATTTATTTCAAAGGAGCACAAATCTCATGACTAGTAATTGTCTACTAACTGCCTTGGTTGGAACATGACTAGATTTTGACAATTTATCCAGGTAATTTCTAGAACAATGACAGCACGTCCTTGCTTTACATTAGATAGATCTAAAATTTCCTAAAGAGATTGTAAAGTCAAGATTTTGATAACATCTTGAATGATTCTTAAGATCTACAAGAAAAGTAAACACTTAAAACTTAAAATGCAACTATTTTTAATTCCCTAAAATCACTTATTGTAATTAGAACCTATAGTTATGATCTTATTTATTCATTTTTATAAATCAAGATCAAGGACATTCCAAATTAATTGTGATAGTTAAGATTTGTCAATATTTACAAGTTTGACTCCAAAAGTTAAATGTTTATTCATTGCTAGAAAAGGTGACCAAAATTCTATATAAAAAGATCTTATCCTGACCAATCAAAATATAGGCTATATTTGTTTGTGACTATATTTGACTTTAAAGGGCAGGGTTTAAATTATAGGAATATTTTCATGGGCTTTAATATAATAATCCAAAATAATATGGATTGAAATATAATGTTGCTTATGAAAGCAGTAAAATGCACTTAGCAGCTGCCCTTCACCCCACTTTATTCCAGTTTACCTTATAATATCAAATTAAATTCCAATTAAAAGCAAAGGTTCCAAATTTAATTTAATTTCCTATTCAAGCCAAAGAAAGCAAGGCTTATAATAATAAACAAGTAACATCCCTTTATCCCCCTCAAACCTGATTTGTGACCAGTCTCATGCTTCTGCCCACTCCCTCCCGGTGGTATCATTCAGAATAGAAAATTATCATCTGTTGGGTAATACACCTTCTTCCTCCTGAGCTCCGCCCAAGCATTAGCACTGTCTAGTATTTCTGCCTTCCCTAGAAGAGGATATATTTTTTAAGGACAATTTCTATGACACATGCAGTGTCCCTGTATAGGTTATAGACTATACAGACATATTTTGTTGACTGCATTCTGGAAAACATTAGAATTACATATGAATAGAACTATCTATTGTTCAGAATCAATGGAAATTTTATAGGCATTTGCCTTTCTAACCTGTGATTGTGAAGTTGGATTTGTTTACTACAAAATTTAGCCACATAGAAATAAATCTGTATTTATTTTCTAGGAAGGAGAGGAAAAGAAGCCAGAATCAGTGGTAAAAGCCATATCTTAAA